AATATATTTTGCAAGCCTCATGTGTGCTACGACTGTATCAGTTTACATATGTTGCTCAGCTATGTCATCTGAGTACAGCAATACCCCCGTACGTACCTTTGCCAGGTATATGTGGATGTTGAAGGGCCACATTTGAGATGCAGCCATACAGTTTTACGCTGTTCCATTTTGGAGTAGTTTAGCTTGTTGGTCATTCAAACTTCCCCACAAACACATACTATTTATTAAAGAATACACCCTCTGGTAATTCAAAAGGCATATTTTGAACCTTAGCGTTGGATCATTTTTTCTCTAGTTTGTTCCAGGTGTAGTGGTAATGAGCATTTTAAAATGTATTTTTTTACTTTTTAAAACTCAATTTAAATTTTTTTTTCTTATTAAATTTTGTAAACTTTTTAAAAACTTTTTTACACATTTAACATTTTAAACTAACATTAAACTTTTTTTACCGTTAACCCCTAACTAGCAGTAAGCAGCACTAACAATAAATTTCCCAATTTCCCAAAACTCCCACCCACCCCAGCTAGCAAAATATATAATTTTAAAATATTTACATTAATTACAGGACCACTATAGTGCCAGGAAAACATACTCGTTTTCCTGGCAATATAGTGCCCTGAGGGTGCCCCCACCCTCAGGGACCCCCTCCCGCCGGGCTCTGGGGAGAGGAAAGGGGTTAAACTTACCTTTTTTCCAGTGCCTGGCGGGGAGCTCTCCTCTTCCTCTTCGCCTCCGATCCTCCTCTTCGGCTGAATGCGCATGCGCGGCAGGAGCTGCGCGCGCATTCAGCCAGTCTCATAGGAAAGCATTCATAATGCTTTTCTATGGATGCTGGCATCTTCTCACTGTGATTTTCACAGTGAGAAGCATGCAAACGCCTCTAGCAGCTGCCAATGAGACAGCCACTAGAGGCTTTAGAGGGTGGATTAACCCATTTATAAACATAGCAGTTTCTCTGAAACTGCTATGTTTATTTTAAAAAAAAAAGGGTTAATCCTAGAGGGACCTGGCACCCAGACCACTTCATTAAGGTGAAGTGGTGTGGGTGCCTAGAGTGGTCCTTTAATGACATAAATTGAATCCCTGAGGTTTTAAAGAAAAATAAAAGTTAATCCTAAAGGGTTAAAAAAAAAATCACATCACAGTATAATACTGTGATCTGTATTTTGATCACTATAGGTAGTGATCAACTGGCAGGGAAGGGGTTATTTTTTATTAGGACTGGGTAAAGGGTGTGAGATTTTTTTTACACGTTTTTTATTTTTTTTTACTTTTTTGAAAAACTTTTTTTAACGTTAACCCCTAGCTAGCAAACACCACATTCCCCAATTCCCCGCTAACTTCCAACCACCCCAGCTGGCTAAATATATCATTTTAATATATTTGAATTAATTCATAAAATAAAATTAAACCATGAGGGTTACAAAAAATAAAAATCAGATGACAGTAAAATGTAGTCCCTGCCAATTGATCACTGTAGTCAGTTTTCAATTGGCAGTGAAGGGGTTCATTTTTATTTAATATGGGTAAAGGGGGATGGGATTTAAAACTAATTTTTCTTACACACAGGGACCACTGCTGATCCATCTCCCTGCACTTCACACTGGATGCGGAAGAGCAGGGAGGCGGATCGGAAGTCCCTGCAGCACATGTGCTCACTCTGACAGCCTGTTGGAGCGATCACTGCTGCGGGGACTGCGCGATCAGGTGCTCCTGGTCTGCCTCGAAGACAGAGGCAGACCAAAGGAGCATTTGTGGCGATTGCAGCGATCTTAGTCAACAAATATATAACATAAGCAAATTAAAACCAAAGTGGCTTACTAAAAAGGTTAATTAAGTCATATACAATAAAAAAGGGTATTCAAAACATTTAAAACAGATGGGTCCATAGCAAACTATAACAAATATAAGCAAAATGGCAATAGAATTGCAAAAATGTAGTTAGATGGGCTAACTAGAAAATGTAATTTTGTAAACAAAAAAAGCAAGTACATTAATGTCAAAGTGAATAGTGAAAGTGTTGGTTAAAAGTGAAAGTGTTGGTCCATTGGAATCTGAAATCGGTGTGTTAATCAAGGAAAGATCAGGACAAGCTGAAAATCGAAATCTTTTTTTTTTGTGTGTATAGGGAAAATGCTCTATGGCTGTATGTTTGCAAATGCCTGTTAAAAAAGCCTTACAGTAGACAGGTGATTGGTTTAAATAGGATGAAGTGCTACAGCAATTAAATAAAGTTAACATAAACATAAACTCATAAACATGAGTACTTAGGGAGGTTTGTGTATAAAGATCATACCTCTGATTTTAATATTTCAGCATTATTTTCTTTCAGGAATTGCACCAGAGGATCGGAGAAAAACAAATGTGGTACTTATATTTAAAAAGCATTTAAAAGCTTAACCCAGAAACTACAGACCCATGAGCTTAACATCTATGGTTAGTAACTTATTTTAAGAGCTGTTAAGGGATAATATACAAGAAATAATTTTGAACAAAAATATCAATAGCTGAATTACCAAGGTTTTGTAAAAGACAGATCCTGCTGTTAACGGAATTGTGTTCTATCAATATGTTTGTAGAAGTATAGTACAGGGTAATCCACTTGGATGTTGCTAAACATTTGATTCACACAAAAGATTACTTGTAAAAATTAAATCAATTGGTTAAGATGAAAAGACATGTTCTTGGTTAGAACACTGACTTAAAAGATAGAGTGCACAAAGTAGTTGTGAATGGAATATTTTCAAATTGGACAACTGTAGTAAGTAGAGTGCCTCATTGTTCTGTCCTCTCTGATCTGTTTATACATTTTCCTGAAGTGGGCATTGAAAGGCATGGGTCAGTGTTTGTACATGACACAAAACTAGGCAAGATAGTACAGTCTAAACATGACATAACTACTCTACAGAGGGATTTTGATAACTTGGTTAATTGTACAGACAAGTGGAAGATGAGATTCAATATAGATTAATGAAAAAGTCATGCATTTTGGAATAAGGAACCAGCCACTTACACATTAAATGGGGTTGATTTATGTGCAGCATGAAATGACAGGGACTTAGGAATAATTATAAATAAACTAGGCAACAATATACAATGCTGGTCTGCTAGTGCAAAAGCTAGTAAGGGGCCATCATGTATAAAAAAGCATACTGAGTCATGTGATCAAAATATAATTTTCCCCCTTTATAAATCAACAGAAAGACCTCAGCTTGAATATACGGTGCAATTTCGTGCAGTTTTATAAAGGATATTGCAGAACTATAAAAAGTGCAGAGGCAAACTAAAAAATTGTTAGAGGGCTGAAAAACATTAGTTATAAAGAAAAACTGCATTTGTTTTCAGGGGGATATGATAACCCTATATAAATATATTCAAGGTCATTACAAACCGCTATATGATAACCTGTTCATTAGCACGAATATATAACAGACAAGAAGTCACTTGTTGATAGTGAAATTTGTAATTATGACAAGCTGACAACTTAACAATATTAGCTTTAGGCTAGGCAATATTGTAGCCATTTTTTACATTGCAGCACACAAATAAGCACTTTTTTCCCCACTTTTTGGCATGCCTTAATGTTTGGCCAAATATGTTTTCATGGATGACAGTTGGGCAAGTTGAATCATCACATGGATGAATATCGGACAATCCAAACAATATTTACAGTTATGAAAAAAAATTGTTCTGCTAAACAGAACAGTCTCACCATGCACAAGTCTAGCACTTATACGGAAAGATCATATAAAATAAAAACAGTAAATTTCTCTCATTGGTATTTTGATCTCTCTATTTAATTGTTGTCTTTTATATTTCAGAAAGTATATCTTTTTTTAACATTGGTCATCACAAGTTCCTTACAAAGAAGGCGGTATGGTCCTGAACCATACAGAGCCACTACATTGAGCCACATGTTAGACTCCATCTTTGTCAGTATAATAGCTTTATAAAAGCCTAAAGCTGTATCACACTATTTTACATATTTCTTTCTTCTAAGACTTTTTGGGAAAAAGAGAGGATATGCTTTGAAATTGTTGCAGAGAAGAGGGGAGTGGTCGCCCTAACGAACCAACAATCTCTGCAAACCAGAGCTAGGGTTGTTAGCTCTGGAAAATGTGAGCGTTACATTAAAGTTATTTTATAATCACTTTGTTTAAATGTCTCGATCACTTTTGCACTTTTAGGGTATCATAGTGTGATGTACCAACCTCACTAAGTACCATGCCCACCGCTTATTCGTGTGTTTTCCCCATGTATTCTGTGTCTCCCCATGTATATGTTATGTATTTAGTGTATTGTGCCTCTTTCTCGCTCGGAAGCGCTTATGCTAACGGAACCCATTCGCCTCCCGAATGTGGACAATCCTGGTACCCCAGTAGAATGCTCACACCAATCAATTAGAATGTTCGCACCTGCATCATAAGTGTGAAAACCTCTAGGGAAGTAATTAATGTATAGGCGTACGACACCCGGGGGAGCATTCATATCCCGAAAGGAGACCCTGTCAGGATTACAGTATGATCCAGCACATAGAATTGTGTAACACAGAGGACTGATAGGTAACGTATACTGGACCTTAGAATGGCCGGACTAACGTACCGTACCATAAAGAATAGTCAGGAATAGCCGAGGTCAAGGGAAACAGAAAGAGACACAACAATAAGGAAAAGCCAGGAGTCAGGGATGCCAGAAAACAGGTAAGTCAAAAACAATGCCAAGTCAAATAACCAGAATTACCAGAATCAATAACGTGCTCTCGGACAACCACAAGGGAAACCACGACAGGGCACTGAGCAGAATGAGAACTGGGCCTAAATACCCCTGCTCTAGATCTGATAGGCTGTAACCGGCCTTTGACCCCAAAGGCAGTTACTAGGATCCCATTTGCATAATTGCTGCTCAGCATTAACCGTTCTGTGGATTTGGTTGCTGCTCGGCACAACTTTTCCTGTGTGGACAGTAAATGCCATTAACCACATTTTTATAAGCGGATGAATACGTGACAGACCCTTCCCTTGAGGGATCTTCGCGCAGGGACTGCACGAACGGGTCCCTGAGGTTGGTTTCGCTCCTTTCAGCTGATTGGCTGTTGCTTGGTTTAGGTGCAAAATTTGAATTCAGCAGACTAAACCAATCAATCGTGTGGAACTATTTTCAGTTATGTACAGAGCACCAAGGCCAGACTTCATATGATGGTTTCTCTGACTCTGTACATCTGATAGTCCCGCAATTTGCAGGGGTCCTGGCTGGGATCCGGGGCTATCCAGGGATGTATGGTTTATGTGTGTACCCAAATTCCTTCCCGGGGTGTGGAACCCCTAAATTTTCCCCTATATACGTAATGTGTTTTACTGTTTGTAATTGTTGTGCAATTGGTATTTCCCACATGGCCTTCACATTGAGAGAAGTTGTGTTCTGAACCTGACAAGTCTTCTGCTCCTGGCTCTTTCTAAAGAAAACCTGCTCCACCCTTACTTACCTTCAACCACCGTGATTTATTCCAACCTGATCTCCAAAATGAACCAACTTTATTTCTATACTGGAATTTAATTTCATTTTGGTTTGGTTCCAACCTAACTGGATATTACAGACTTTCTTATTATTTGCAAGTATCCTCAAAGAGCCAGAAACTGCAGTTCTGATTATAAACTAAGAGAATGATCACCTCCATTGCTACTTTAACCTGTTTTACTTTATCTTTTATGTTCCTTTTTATCTGATTATATCTCTGTTACCTATTACCTGATAACCCACTTAGAGCATATTGCCTAAATCTTCTCTTCTGTTCCTTCTATTAACTCAAACCTATAATTTCTCTTAAAAGTTTTCCTGTTTTGTTCTATCCTGTTCTGGGGCATATTGCCTAAATTCTATTTTCCCTCAAAATTTGTACCTATAATTTCTCTTATTGGTTTACCTATTTTCACCTTTGGGCTTATTGTCTAAACCTTATTATTTCATAGCCTAGTTATTGTTACTGGTAATCTCAATTATTTGGTTCTGTTTTCTCTCTCTTGTTAGTATATTTATACTGGCAGACATTTTGTGTTAAAACAGAAATTAAAAGTGTATACTGCAAGTCACCATCAGAACAGAGGTGACTCCATTTTGTATTACAATGCAAAGAAAGGCACAATTTATTTTATCTGATTCTCTTCACTTAAGCATGAGCTTAAGTATAATATCAATGAAGAAATGTCATATTATTTACTAACGTAAGTGGAATATGTGTAATAGACATGTATACATAATATTACTACAGTTTCACACAAGAAAACCAAAAACACTTTGACAGATAACACTAAGTAATTAATTTTACTAATAAAAAATCTAATGGAATCTTACAAAATTAAGGCTACAGGTGTCAAATTCTAATTTCATGACACCAAAAGCGGACCGTAAGACTGGAAAAACTAAAAGAAAAAATGCTTTGAAGTGACCGCTTGTTTGACGAATAGGTAACCATTAGTGATGTACCGAATGGCTCGCCGAATGGTTCGCCACGGACGGCGAACATATGCGCTGTTCGGTCCGCCCCTATGTCATCATTGAGTAAACTTTGACCCTGTACCTCACAGTCAGCAGACACATTCCAGCCAATCAGCAGCAGACTCTCCCTCCCAGACCCTTCCACCTCCTGGACAGCATCCATTTTACATTCATTGTGAAGCTGCATTCTTAGTGAGCTGTCCAGGAGGTGGGAGGGCCTGGGAGGGAGGGTCTGCTGCTGATTGGCTGGAATGTGTCTGCTGACTGTGAGGTACAGGGTCAAAGTTTACTCAATGATGACATAGGGGGCGGACCGAACAGTGCATATGTTCGCCACCCGTGGTGAACCGTTCAGGACATCACTAGTAACCATAAAATATAACCAAGATGACGTCAAACGCATCACAAAATTCATTTAACCCATTATACAAAAAGGTAAATGAAACCCCTGACAAGAATTTTCTGCGATGTAATTGCGCCATCTACTGACCAAAATAGATGATAGTCTGTAGGGAAGACAGTTCTCTATTGGTCCTATCAACTAGTGATGTAAAGAGAACATCTCTTTACAATTTTCTTTAAAATTTAGGACAAAGGAGAGAGAGAGGAAACTCTCAAACATGAAAACTCTCAAGGAATTCAGACTCACTCACACTCTCTAGACACTCTCACTCTGAGAATGGACCTGGGTCTGACATCTGGAGCCAAACCTGGACACACCTAACTCTTTGTATCTTTTCCAACTAACACTGAAATACTTTAAAATCAGTATTCTCTATACTCATACTTGCGTTCACTATTCCTGGGACGTATCGTCTACAACATAACTGGTAATTATGCTGGTTTTATTTAATTTTATTGCAGGTAGCGGAAAAAATCAGCCAGTTTCAACATATTTCTCGATTTTAATTTGTCAAAGGTTATAAGACTTCCACTTTCGTAAAGATGGCCCACTCGTTAAAGTCCAGCGTATTCTATTCCTCTAACATCATGTGCCTTCATACCCAGAGGGAATACCCTATTTTGCAAAATAGGTATCATAGGTGAGAGGGATGAAACCAATTAAATCTTTGGGGAATTGTTGTCCCAGACTCGGAAAGAGTTCAAAATAGCCAGACATGTGGTTGTCAGTAAGTGGGGATTCAGGGTAGAAGAAAATGACTTGTAGTAAGAAAACCCATTTAGGCTCAGAGATTTCCCATGTGATAAACCAATTATGTTATGGGATATTTTTTCTTCAGTGACTGGGGAATGTAGTTTTTTTTGTTTTTTTGGACCTGGGTGAGACCTGGGAGAGTAATTCTAGAAAGGAAGTCTTTAATTTCAAATCCCGTTCATTGATGGAGAAATGTTTCATTCTTCAAATTGTATAAGATAGTGTAGAATTTTGATAGCTCATCAGTAATGTTTTGGGGATTATACATTTGTGTTCATCATAAGACAGGAGCTAGGGTATTTTAGATAGTGCCTGCTGTTGGCTAGGCGCGTTGCTAACAGTTTTAGTTTTTGTATTATGTAAGTTTTTTTTTTTCATGTGTAGATCATTAATTGATTTGCTTAAAAGGGACCCTTCCTAGCTGCAACTGGGTAGAGGAACTAGCTCTGCTCATTCCCAGGCACTGGACGACACACAGTTCTGGGAGCTTCAGTCCTTACAAGGACTTTTCCCACTGCATCTTCCACCAGCTGCAACAAGCTGATACAGGGATTAACCCTCCCTCCCCCCCAGTAACTGGATGAGACCAAGTTCTGGAGGTACAACACTGACAATGCTTTATTGATACACACAGTGGGGGTCACAACTTTTATGCACAGACCCCCACTAGAATCCAAGTCTGGAGGGGGATGGTTTACAGATAAAGAGCCAGGAGCAGAAGACTTGTCAGGATCAGAACACAACTTCTCTCAATGTGAAGGCCATGTGATGAGTTGGGTGTAGCCTTTTGTAGCAGATTTGAATTATCATGACATGCAGGTGAGAGCGACTGAGGTGACTAGTGGCTAGTGAGGCCACTAGAAGCGAGAAACAGTTATTGCAGTAATAAAACAATAAAATAAAACAATATCTTGGTTGGTCAGGATAGGATCTTGACATTTTATGAAAAAATGTGTCTCAGAGAGGCTGTATCATGGGGCATGATCACACTACTATACTCTCACCAAGGAATGGGGCCAGTCACACTATACAGATAACTTGGGGGAGACATTGGAGGGTATTGAATGGCAGGAAATATGGGAAGCTAACAACAAGACCTCAATATGCATTACTCTACAGGGGCAGATCTCTGCTGGAGGGGCTGTGGCCAGAGGAGTACCTATATCCACATGTGGTGGGAGTGTCCAGAAGCCCAGGGTTTTTGGGACAGTGTGGGAGAACTCTTATTCAAAGTATTTCAAAGAGGAGTTAAGCTTGACCTATGGGTTTTCCTGCTTTCCAGATCCTTAGATGACTGGCCCAAACCTGAACAGAAACTCCTACATAAATTAGTGATTATTCTAGCCTTGGTGAGGGAATAATCTAAATTTTATTAAAGACAGGAGGCTAATATTTCCCCCCTTACTGTTTTCCCACCCTGGAATTGGTTTTGTTTTTGCCATTGTGTTAATCAGGGTTTTGTTGTATTCGTTGTATGATATGTATGGTCTCATGTTTTATTAATAAACACATTTTCGTGTGCATTTATTTATCATATTGTATTCCACTGATGTGCTGATCGTGTATGGTGTGACATTCTGCTCTGGCAGTTTACTATGTTTCTTCTCCTTTACAGTGTAATCTAAAGTTGTTCTGGATATGGTGGTTTCTCATCTGAGTGTGCCAGATACAGTTGGTTTTGTTTGGCCTTCTTGCCCTCCTACTCGACCTCATCAAAGAAACAGGAAGTGGGAGGGTCTGCCTAAGTGGTTTTATACTACTGTTATTTGTTCTGATTGGTTGTTTTGAAAAGTTCTGTTAACTGTTTCTTTGCTGGTGGAGGTTTCAGTAAAGGTAAAGCAAATATGAAGCTTCCTGTCTTGCCATAAAATTTACATTAGCCGCCAGACAAGCGATGATACAGTTCTGGCTAAAACCTGACTTACATTTTGATCAAGGCAGTAATGCAAAAATAAAAGATAGCTTTTTAAAGGACAAATTTACTGCACAGGTCAGAGGCATGACTAACACCTTTGATAAGATATGGGACCCATGGCTCACCACTGATATGGGAGGTTAAAGGGGTGGAGTCAGGAAGGGGACAACACATACCATATGGATATCCTAATCTCCTGACCAAGCGAGGGGTCGGTGTCCTTTCCCTCCCCTTCCCCCTACATCCTCAAAAAAAAAAAAATTATATATATATATATATATATTCTACCAAATACATATACATTTCTGTATACATCTCTGTCTTATAGCTCCTCCCTGCAGCTCGCACTATACTCCGTCACACAACTCTATGTGTATTTGCTGGACCGACACCCATCCCCCCTTTTTATTTCCCTTTCTGTCTTCCTCTGCCTACATTACTTTTTCAATGTTTCCTATTCTCTTCCTGCTACAGAAAATTTTAAAAAAAACACTCTGATGGCTGGGTTGATTTACACACGCACAGATGTTTACCACACATGCATTTACACCTTTTATTGCCTCTTCAACAGCTGGTATATACTTATTGCTATCACTTAATATTAAATACTTGGTGCTTCTTACAGGACAAGTTTGTAATGTACATTCCCTGTGCGTAATATTATGTATCATACCTTG